AAGACAAAATTGGCCGAGGTTGACTTTCTCTCTCTCTCTCTCTCTCTCTCTCTCTCTCTCCGCCCCCTCCCTCTCTCTTCGTGTCGTCCCCTCTCCCTCTTCCCTTCCTTCTCGTGCCCCTCGTCGTCGTCCTCTTGTTGCACGTCCCTCGCTGTAGATCTATCGCATCTCGCTTTCTCCTGCACCGTCTTCTCTCTGTTCAACGCAGCTCGAGCCACTCGTGTCGCAACAGCCCAGTTTCCTTCGAGAGCCCTCTCTACACCGTCCAAGCAAGCCCCATCTCCTCGTCTACAGAGCCCGTCCGTCCCGCACGTCTCGCCCGTCGCCCGCTCAGTCTTCCGAGCGCTCCCACGCCTCGGCCGCGCGCTCGACCTCGGCGACGGCGCGCGCGACGAGGCGCACGTGCCCGAGGATGGACGGCAAGGGCGTCAGGATGGCGCCGTGCTCGCCGGCGAGGATGTGCAGCGAGGGGAAGGGCGGGGTGGGGGTGCTCGGCGGCGGCGGCGGTGAGGGGGAGGAGGATGAGGTGCGGGCGGCGGAGGAGAAGGAGGCGACGAGCGCCGAGGGGTGGAGCGCGGGCGAGGTCGGCGAGGAAGAGGGAGAGGGCGAGGGCGAGCCATTGCCGACGAGCGCGTGCGACACGCCGTTCGACTTGGTCGGCGTCGACGGCTCCTCGTCCTCCTCGTGTGCGCCCTCGCCGTTCATGGCGCTCGGCGGCGCCTCAAGTGCGCGCACGCTCGACGCGGCCGGCGGTGGCGCGCCCGTCGAGAAGCCCGCCGCCTCGAGGTACGCGCGCACCTTGCGCACGGGCAGGATGCAGTCCTTGTCCGACAGGATGACGACGCTCGGCTGCAGGACCGTTGCTCGAGTCAGTGAGGCCGGGCAGGCGAGACGAGGAGAGAGAGGGAGAGAGAGGGAGAAAGAGGGCGAGGGCGCACCAGAGGACCGTGCGGGCAGGGCGTGACGAATGGGGCGTAGTTGGGCACGTCGAACGGCGGCTCGAGCGGTGCCCGGGCACAGGCGGGCACGAGCGCCTCGATGACGCGAGGCGGGAGCGGTGCGGGCGAGGTCGGCGCAAAGACGACCGAGTCGGACCAGCGCAGGTGCCGCGACAGGAAGTGGTTGATGCCGCGCTCGAGGGCAAAGTAGCGCTGTAGGCAGGTCGAAGGTGTCAGGAACGGGTCGAGGGAAGACGAAGAGGGAGGGGAGGGAGGGACGCACGAAGAAGCGCTCGGCGGCGGTTTTACACTTGGTGCGGAAGAAGTTGCGCGGGCTGTCGGCGGAGAAGAGGAGGAACGACATCGGGTCGATCAAGACGGTGCCGGCGATAATGTCGGGCTGAGAAAGAAGAGGGGTCAGCGCCGAGGGCGAGGAGGGGGAAAGAGAGAAGAAGACGCACGGCGTCCCGCAGAAGCCACGCCGCCGCGCCCGTCCCGAAGCTGTGCGCAACGACGACCGCCTTTGTCCTCCTCCAGTGCTCCTCCTCGTGGTCCCCCTCGTAGTCCGAGTCGTCCTCGTCCGGCTCGAGGTGGCTGAGCCCGAACCCGTGGACCCACAGCATGCGCCGCACGGCGGCGACGTACTCGAGGCGGGTAAAGATGGTCGACGGTGGTGCGAGGCGCATCGAGACGTAGGGGATCTCGGGGAGGAAGATGGCGCGACCTGCGGTTCGGCGGGCAGAACGTGAGCGAGTGCGGCGAGGAGGATTCGGCGAAAAGGGGGGACGCACCAGAGATGCTCGACAGCGCGATGAGGAAGGGCACGGTGACGAACGTGCCGCTGATGCCGTGCGCAAAGACGATCTGCGAGTGCGAGTACGGGAGAGAGAGAGTGAGCGGCGCTCAGAGAGGAAAGGGAAGGCAGGCAGGAGGGCTCACCGGCTTCAGGTCCTCCTCCTGAGCCTGCTTGCTCGCCGGCTTCATCCAGTACCCGACGCGAGACGCGAGCGCCGCATTGCCCATGCGCGACGCCTCGAGCGGGTCGAGGTGCTTCTCGAGCGCACGGCGCGAGGAGCGCATGAAGCCGAGCGGGAACGGCCACTGCGGTGCGTGTGCGGCAAGTTCAGTCGACGTCGCGATATTGCGGGGAAAAAGAGAGAGAGGGAGAGTGTGCGCACCGATGACAGCGAGCCGTAGTACCGGAAGCCCGCCAAGAAGAGGGCGAGGTTGCCGACCTGCGAGATGAAGGCGATGGCGGCGTAGAAGACGAGCGGGTGGTGATGCAGGCTGAGGGGCTCCTGGCCGAGCTGGAACACGCGATGAGGTGACCGGCCTCGCAGGAAGCGGAAGGGTGGCGAGCCCGGACGCGACAGGGTGAACTGCGCCTCGAGGAGGAGGATCATCGAGTGGAGCTCGGCGCGGTGGACCGGGTCGGCGAGGACGGCGCGCCGGCTGGCGGCGAACATGAAGTGCGAGATGTACTGCGAAGGGGTTCGAGAGGTCAGTCCCGCCTCGAGAAGGCGGTAGAGAGAGGGGGAGCGAGCGCACCTCCTCGATGTTGGTACGGCCGACCTGCTCGGCCTTGACCTTGGCGAACGCCGGGTCGTCGGCTCCTTGTGCTGCCCGCTTGTAGGCGTACGGCAGGAAGACGCCGCCGAGCCAGTCCCACGGGTCCGCCGCCGACTCGACCATGGCCCGCCAAAGCCTCCATCGCTCCTCCGGGCTGACGGCGTCGTCGTCGCCTCGCCGGTCCCACCACCGCCGCTCAAGCGCGATCGCCGTCGCCTTGGACGCGACCCACCAGATGACCTCGGCGGCGCACCAGGCCGTCAAGGCGGCGAGGGGCAGTCGCAGTTGGACGAGGAGGTCGGCGGCGTCTTGTGGCGGGAGCGACGTAGTGAAGGCGACGGCGGGCGACGCAGGGTAGGCGAGGGCTTGTGCGGCGAGCCAGGCGAGGCTCAAGGGGGCGACAGCATCGAGGGTAGAGATGCCGACGCGAAGGAAGAGGCGGCTGGCAATGCCGTCGGGGAGCTGCGGGCGGGGGTGCGCATGAGCTCGGTAGGCTGAGAGCGAGTGAGACAAAGCTCACCATGAGCTCAGAGCTGCCAGCTTGAGGTCTGGGTGATGAGCGGAAGCTAGTGTGGCTCGGCGAGGAGGAGGCGACCGGCCTCGCCTCTGCTCTCACCTGTCAACGCCCCCGGCCAGTCTGCACGAGCTGCACCTGCCCGGCTAGCACTGTACGACACCGCTAGAGCGCGCCGCATCTCGCCCGCCAGCCCCGATCTCGCAAGCTTTCATCGTTCGACACCCAGCCGACCTCCACCTCGCCGTTCTCGCCCGTCCTTCTTCTTGGTCCAGCGGTCACCATGGCAGCAGCACCGCCAGTGTACCTGCCCTTCATCGTCGCCCCGCCGCTCACCAGCTGCGAGGACGCCTACCTCGTCTTTGTGAGTCTCCGCTCCCTCTCCTCCTGCATCGCTCTCTGGTGCCACCACGCACTGGATGAGTTTCTCGCGCATCCGCTGACATCTGTGCCTCTCGTGCGACCTGCAGGGGCAAGGTGTCGCGCCGTACTCGATCAATGTCATCGCGACTGGCGATGCCACCGGCGCCTCGCTCGAGGCGCTCCCCGTCCAGAAGACCAACACGCCGCTCAAATGGGTCACCGACTTCCAGCCCGGCGCAAACTTGACGTTCGCCTTGACCGACGCTGCCGGGCAGCAGGCCTACTCGCAGTTCCGTGTCGTCCAGGTCGGCGCCGTCTCGAACTGCCCGTGCGTCCACATTTCGTTCCCTCTGTGCCCAGTCGACCGTCCTGACGAGCTTTCGCACCGTCGCAGGAAGACCGACTACACGCCCAAGTTGTCGCCCAACATCGGCGCCATCGTCGGCGGCCTGTTCGGCGCCCTCGCCGCCATCGCCCTCCTGTGCGCCTTCGTCTGGTGGCGTCGCCGCGCGTGGAAGAAGAGCCACCCGACATGGGGCAACCGGTTCGCCGACAGCAAGGCGGGCTCGGTCGTCGACCCGGACGACGTCTGCCTCGCCGACGGGCCCGCCGGCATCGCTCGCGCGGGCACGTTCAACCTCGCCCAGGTCGGCTTCACCGAGGACTCGCTCACGCGGTTGCGCGCCATCGACACGCCGCCGGCGTACACGGGCCCGCCGAGGCGAGCGTCGCAGGACACGACGGTCGTGCCCGTCATCGACGAGGAGGAGCACGAGTTGGCGGCGGCGCTGGCGGCCTCGGAGCGCGACGCCATCACGGAAGAGGCTCGCAGGCCGTCTTCTTGATCTCGCACCCTGTATCTTGTGCGTCCTCGCTTTCTCTCTCTCTCTTTCGCGCTCCCGGGCACCCCTCCTCCCCTCCCTCTCTCGCGCCCGCCGTCCCTGACCTCCTTCGCGCCGGCATCTCGCAGATCTCCAGCTGTAGCCCCACCCACACGTTTTACCTCTCACTCGCGCCTCTCACCTAATTTATTCGCCTTCCTTCACTCGTCGCCTCGCTCTTGGCGTCGGCGGCGCGAGGCAGACATCGGCGCTGCGGCCGGTCCGTGGGAGGCGGACGCACGGCTGGCTCGGAGGTGAGAGAAATCCGCTCACTCTCGTGAGGCGGATGTGCCTGCTGTGCGACGAGAGGGAGGGGACCGGCTTGAGTGTGGGAGTGCGGCTCTGGGGCGCTCGTCGCGAGCAGGGAGCGCTGTTGCGGCCGTACCGCGGCGTCGCCAGCTTGCCCCGGCTCGATCGATCTCGCTCGGCGTTCACTCGCCTCGTTTTGCCCCCAGCTGGGTCCCCTACCCGGGCCGCAGGCATCCCGCCGGCGGCTTCGCCGACGAGCCTCTCGACCGACCGTGTTCGCCCTCGCTGCTCCCCTCTCCTCGTCCCGCTTTCTCGCCCGACCATGCCTCGCGCGAGTGTCAAGGAGGACGGTGGAGCGTCGGCGGCGGCGGTTCGGAGGCGAAGCTCGCTGTCCATTCGCGTGAGCTCCTGCGTCGAGGTGCGTCCGCGATTGTCCTCTCCTTTCTTCACCGGCCTCCTCACTCTCCTCGCCCTCTCCCGTCGTGACAGTGCCGCCACCGCAAGGCTCGATGCTCGAGGACGGCCAACTGCTCGAACTGCAGGATGCGGGGCATACTGTGTACTTGGCTCCCGGGAACGTGCCCAAGGTGCGCTCGACTCTCTCGCCTCGTCTCGGCCCGCCAGACGCTCACCATCACTCGTGCCGCGACAGACGTACGGAGGAGGAGGCGACGATCGAGGCTCAAGACGTCGAGATCCGCCGCCTCAAGATCCGCGTCATGGCCCTCGAGGACCAGGTCATCTCGCTCGGCGGCGGCCTCGATCCCCTCGAGCGTCTGAGCGCGCCGCTCGGCATCACGACGTCGCCTCGCGGCAGTGTCTCGCTCGAGGTGCCGCCGCTCGTGGACCGTCGCGACTCGTCGGCGTCGTGGCTGTCGACCTCGTCCGACACGTCGGCCTCCTCGAGAAGGGCATCGTCGGACGAGCTCTTCCCGCCCGTGTGGACCCTGTCGTCCTCGCGGTCGTCGCTCCCGCTCGTCGAGGACGAGGACGAGGGCGCCGTGCCGGACCTCGTCGTCGCAGAGCTCGCGGCGACGTCGCTCGCCGGGCCCGACGAGTACGCGTTCCCTCGCCCGCCGACACTGCCGTCGCTCGCCCTGCCCGCCCTGCCGACGTTCCCCGTCTCGCCGTCGCCGTCGAGCGCGACGGCGCAGGTCGGCGCGTGGCCGCCGAGGCGCGGCTCGACGCTCGACCCGCTCACGAGCCTCGTCGAGTGGCGCGTCTGCGCGCCGCCTCAGTGCGCCTCGGCAGGGCCGCTCTCGTCGTCCATCTTGCTCGGCGGGTGTGTCCCGCCCGTGCTCTCGCTGCGCACCGATGCCTGAGCCAGGGCCGGGCGTGCGGGTACGCCTGCAGGCCAGCCTCCTCGTCGCTCGCTCCCGTCAAGTACGTCCTCGTCCTCGTCCTCCCGCCGCGGCGCTCTCCTTCCCCCGAAGCCTCGACAGGTTGCCTGACCTTGCCAGCCACACAGAGCGCACCACCCGCACCCGCCCTTGCCAGCCTCGCCGTCTCCTTCGCGCTCCTTCCTCCCTCCTCGTCTCCTTTCTTCCCCACCCGGCCTTCTCATCCTTTTCCTCGTTCCGCCCCCATTAGCGACCCTGTCACTCGACATGAAATGAGATCCCGGGACCCGTCGCTAGAGGGGTTTGTCGCGGGAGACGCGCGAGCGCTGGCTCGCCCTCGCTCGAGCGCGCAGTATCGACTCGGATCTGTTCGCTTTGCTCGCTCGGCGCATCGCAGCTCGGCCGAGGGGCCTCGACTAGCCATGTGCGTCGACAGTCGACGTCGCCAAGCTTCTGCGCGCTGCGCTCGTGCGACGTGCGCACCCAGAACCCGCCAGAAGCGACCTGGCGATCCTCGCTGCACCTTGCGCGCGACCGTCTCACTTTGTCGTTTAGTTACGAGCGATCGGGTCCCTGCCATTCCATTCTCTGTGCGCTCTCACGCTCTGTGATCGAGGAGAACCGCGATGCTGGGTAGATGGGCCGGAGCGCTGCGCTGGGCACGGACCCGCAACGTGTGCGAGTCGCACTGCTGCACGAGGCTCCTCTCCGCAGCTGCTCCCCGCTGCGACTCTTTCGCTTGGCCTGCCAGCCACTCTCGAGGCGCGCACGTCCCGCTCTCGCTTCGAGGAAGAGCGTGCACGAGCCGCGAACGTTGCCTCTGGCTCGGATGTACCGCGCCAGCTCGAGCGACGGGCGGGTCTACTGCCGTCGACGTCGGTGTACTGCCGTCTTTAGGCGTCGCTCGGGCCTGCGTGGCTGGCGGAGGAGGCTTGGCAAGATGCAGCCAGCCCACCTCGAGCTGGTTCGACCTCCCGCAGGGTCCGATTCGAGACGGACGGACGAGGCGACGCTCGGGGTGTGTAAGCCTGCACCGCCGAGCTCTGCCCAAGCTGTGGCTGGCGAGCTCGAACCCGTCAGGTGCGCAGAAGGCCACCTTCCCAAGTCGAGGGGCTCGGAGGGGGGGAGGGACGTGCGCAGCCAACGAGCGACCGTCCACCTGGCCAAGGATCGTCGCCGCCTGAAAGATGGGCGTGCAAACCGCGGCGGCCTCGACCCAGGGATCTGCACGCTTCGCCCCACAGGCACGCGCTGCTCTTGCGGTGCTCCGTTTCGAGCAATCAGCGAATGCGGCGGTTCGCAACAAGCTTAAGCGGCGAGCTGTGTCGGCTTCTGCTAGCTTCCTCGCGCAGTCGACTTTTTTCCAGGCTGCACTCGCAGGCTCGCGAGTCGAGCAGCTACTCGCTCTCACGCAGCGTCGGCCGCCAGCGTGGAGCGCTCCAGCGACGAGCCGATGCAGGGGTTCGTTCCTCTCTGTGATCGAGAGGTGGAGCGTGATCGGAAAGAAGGAAAGGCACCAGGCACCGCCGACGAGAGAGAGTCTTCGCTGCCCCGAAGGCAGTCGTGAGCCGCTCGTCCTCGCCTCCCCACCGCGTTCCTCAAAGCGCTCGCCTCCTTCGACGCACGCTCTCTCTCTCTCTCTCTCTCCTCCTGCCACCACAACCACCCGGCCTCACCGCCCGTCGCCTCACTACCCACCCTGGCTTGCTGCGCTCTCCTCCTCGCCTCGCACTCGACCTCGACGCGATAGCCCAAGCCCCTCTCACCTCCCTCTCGCCGCACCAGCCACCAGTCGCACCCTCTGCCGCTCATGGCCGACACCGCCTACCCGGGCGCCAAGGTCCCGCGCCGCAAGCGCTCAAACAAGTCGGGCCTGAACGCGCCCGACGGTTCCGCGGGCCTTGACGACGCCAAGCGCGTCTCGATGGCCTGCGTCGCCTGCAGGAAGCGGTGCGTCCTCCCTCTCTCACTCTCTTCCCTCGGAGCTCTGGACGAGGCGCGCCCGCCTGTGCGCGCACGCGCAGAAGACTCGCAGACTGACCTCGCCCTCCCCCGCTCTGCAGCAAGATCCGCTGCGACGGCGCCCAGCCGGGTTGCCACAACTGCTCGAAGAGCGGCAAGAGCCCCTGCCGCTACGAGCGCGTCACTGCGTGCGTCCTCAGTCCCCTCCTCGTCTCGTCGAAACCCCTCTCGACGACCTCGGCAAGCTGACTCACCCGTCCTTTGCACCCGCAGCGAGGAGAACCTCGAGGTCAAGATGCGCAAGCGCCTCGCCAAGTTGCGCAAGGAGCTCAGCGCCAGCAAGCAGCAGGACGACACGTCGTCGCAGCTCGGCGCCCGCCGCCGCTGGTCGCGCACCATCTCGTTCGACAAGAACTCGTACGTGCCACCGCCGCCGGCCGTCACGTCGACCGGCTCGGTGCCGTACCTGAGCCCGTCGCCGAGCGGCCTGTCGACCGCCGCACACGGCCTCCACCTCGACAGCGCCGGCTACTCGTACCACCACGGCCACCACGGCGGGTACTTTGACCACCCGGGCTCGCCGTACCCGATCACGCCCACCGACGAGGCGCCCGAGTACTTCGTGTCGGTGCCGCCAGTGCTCGGCGCTCCCCGGTACCCGCCGTTCCTCGACCGCGCGCCGACCGGCCACTCGCCGTACCCGCTTACGCCGCCGATGGACGACGGCTACTCGTGCGCGACCGACCCCAACTGCGCGTGCCACCAGCCCGTCCCGGCGCACATGGCGCCGCCGCCGCTCCCCCCGCCGCCGCGCCAGCAGCACCACGAGCAGCGCCGCCCGTCGTTCCCGCACTCGCAGTCGGCGCCGCTCCTCCCGAGCGCGACATACCAAGCCCGGTACTCGCCGTCGTCGTACGCGCCGCCCGCCCCGCCGCCGCTGTACCCGCACGAGCGCAGCACCGGCCTCGAGCTCGCGCAGCCCATGCCCGTGCGCGCCCAGCCGCCGAGCTTCATCCGCGCCGAGCCGGCCGCCGCCGTCCCGCTGCGCTTCTCGCCGTACCCGATCGTCCCCGTCTCGACGGCACAGGACGACGCGTTCCTCGCGCCGGGCCGCCCGGCCAACTGGGCCGACGCCCTCGGCGAGGACGCGGTGCTCGACCGCGAGCGGCCGGCGGGCTACACCGAGCTGTGGATCGGCGAGCAGAGCAAGGCGCCGCTGGCAGCAGCGCAGGGCGAGTACTCGCACTTTGAGCAGGCGGCGTGGTGAGCCGCTGCGGCGGCCGGGCGCGACGAGTCGAGCAGGGAGCGAGGGAGCGAGGGAGCAAGGGAGCGAGGGGAGGACGGGCCAGGCGTGGCTCGGGGGAATCTGTGCTGTATCTAGCTTTGGTCGTGCGTTGTTGTGCTTGAACTTGAACTTCGTTTTGCGTCTTATCGCGCGAGCGGTGAGGGAAAGCTGATGCATCTCTCGCCTCGTCTCCTCCTCGTCGCGGCGCCCGGCACACCGCCACGTCTCGACTCCTCCCGCCTCGTCCGCCTCGTCGACTTCTCACGGCCAGACCGCTTGCTGCGCACCATGAGCTTCTTCACCAGGTGCGTCCGAGTCTGTGCAGCCCCCCTCTCGCGCGCGTTCCTGCCCGCTCACTCGTTTGCACCCCCCGCCCAGCTCCGCCATCGTCTCGTCGGCGTTCCTGCTCGGCATCCTGTTCACGAGGTGCGTCTCTCGGACCTTGCCCTATCGCAGCCGACAGCTGACCGACTCGCACGCGCGCGCAACAGCCTCCTGTGGGACGCGACGGTCCTGTACGGCCTCACGGCGCCCATCACGGAGCAACAGATCGAGAACGTCGAGAGCTACTACCTGACCTGGTGGAACGGCGGGATGGCGGTCAAGATGTTCATGCACGTCGTCGTGCGTCCCCTCCCCCCGCGTCTCGCACCCGGCCCTCGGTCGTCGACTCGAGCCTGACCTCGTTCATCCCTCCTTCGTCGGCGTGCGTGCCCACAGATGCTCGTCCTCTTCCTGTCGCTCGTCGCCAAGTGGGCCCGTCACACCGAGACGGCGTTCTACTTTACCGGCGCCTCCATCCGTGCGTCCTCTTCCCCTCCCTCTCTTGCCTGCCCTCGCGCCGTCGTTGACCTCGAGCCTCTCGTGTCCTCCCCACCGCAGTCATGCTCATCTGCTCCGCCGCACTCTACATCGTCGTGACCCTCCCGTCGCTCCGCCAGATCGCCAAGTGAGTCCTGCCGTCACTTGTTCCCGTCTCGCACCCGGCATTGACCGTCCGCGTCCTCGCAGGGACCCGTTCAACAAGGCCGCCCACATCCTCCCCGGCGACGACTTCTTCACGCGCATGCAGATGTGGCTCGCCGATCGCAGCACGGGCCTCCTCGGCGACCGCGCGCGCGAGAACGCCAAGGCGCTCGCCGCCCTGCCGCCCATGGAGTGGCGCGCTCGCGTCGAGCACGTCCAGGTCATGTGCGCCGCCAACACGATCGCCATGGTGCTCATCGTCGGCATCGTCATCCTCCAGGTGCGTCCTCAGAGAGCTCTCTCTCCCGCCCCTCGACGCGGCTCGAATCGTCGTGAACGCCCCGACCTGACTTTCGCCTCGCCGCCCGCAGGTGTCCGAGTGGTACCTCGAGCAGGAGATCCTGCGCGACGAGACCGAGGCGTTGCGCAAGCAGGTCTATGGCTCGACGCCGGCTGCGGCTGCGGCGACGCCCGCTGCGCCCGCCAAGGTGACCGTCGAGAAGAAGAAGCAGTAGGAGGGGGTCGAGAGAGGGCAGTCCGGGAGAAATCAGTCTATCGCGTTTGTCAGTCCTTTCCTGCGTGTTCAGAGGCGCCGCAGAGGGCGACTGGGCTGCTCGTCGTGCGCGGTGCCGCAGCTGCGACGCCGTCGTGCGAGAGAGAGCGTGCCTCGTTGGCTCGTCGACTCAGCTTCTCTCCTCGTGCGAGTACCGAGTGAGAGTAGCTTTACACGGCTTGAGACTGCTCGCTGAGCGAGCTGTCGCGCCGAGACGCTGCTCGACCCGCTCGTCTTCCCGACGGCTGCCCCCACCTCCTCGGCACTCTCACCCTCATCACTCGCCCGCTCGAGCCATCGCGTGCACAGCTGCACCGCGTGAACCCCAAGCGCTATCGCAGCCGCCTGCTGCTCGACCGCCGCGCCAGCCCCACGCCGTCGCCCTCCGCCGACCACCCGCGCCAGCTCCCGCAGCTCCCACCTCTATCTCGCACCTGTACGCGCGCGTCCATTGCGCCACTGGACCACCGACAAAATCGCCGCGCCTCACGCCTCCGTCCGCCGACCCAGGACCGCCGCCGAGCCCGCGACCTGCACCATCGGTTCAATCACCCGGCCCACCTCTCGCGCGGTCACGGGCTACGAGCGCGATGGAGACAGACGACGAGACGCCTGTGAGGCGTACGACAACGCCGCTCGGTCGGCTCGATGATCAACGGGCAGGGTGCGTCCTCTCTTCCTCTCGCTCTCCTCCCCTCGCATCTCGCAGCGGCGGCTCCCGGGTACTGACGACCTTGTCGTTCACAGGTTCTCGATCCACTCGCACGCTCAACCTTCTCCACCCCTCGGCAAGGTCGTCAAACCCGTCCTCGAAGCCGCGCCTCGCCCTCGACCATCGCCCAAGTCGGCCGGCAGCGCGTCTTTGCCCGCCCTCACGCGGTACGACAGCTGGGAGCAGCTCCCGCGACCGTCGGCCGACACGTACGGTCGAGGTGGGCACCCGTCGAGCGGCGCAGTGCGGCGGGCGAGTACACGGCGCATCGTCGAGGACGAGGCCGACGAGGGCGGGCCGTTCTCCGACTTTGCGCGCAAAGACGGGAGCTGGAGCGTGCGTCCCTCTCTCCCTCGCCTCGTCTCCACGCGATACGCCCCGATGGGGAATGCGCGCTCACGCTGTCGCCCCTTCGCCGCTCCCGCAGACCCGGAGCGAGACGAGCTCGACCGCCGCGTACACGCCCTACGGCGACTGGCGGCGTCGAGGCTCCGAGTTCTCGACGTCGTCCGTCCTCTCGTCGCACTCGCCACAGTCGCACACGTTCCCGCCTCGGCGCAGCAGCACGGCGACGAGCTTCAAGGGCACGATCGGCCACGAGTCGACCACGTCGTCGATGCCGCTCCTGCGCCGCCACGGCACGCGCGAGAGCCTCGCCGACAGCGAGTCGCCGTCGAGGGGCACGAGCGGCGGCGGCGGCGGCGGGTCGGCGGGCGGTGCGGGTACGCCGACGACGCGGCGGCACCGCGACAGCACGGCGAGCTTCTCGCAGTCCGAGTCGTCGTCGCTGCACTCGTACCCGCCCAAGCCGCGACAGCGCACCGGGTCGCTCACGATGGGCGTCACCGAGAACGACTTTGCGACCGGCCACATCCAGCGACGAGGTGTACGTCCGGCATCCTCTTTGACCTCGAGCGCGTTCGACGAGCCTGACCCGGCCTCTCCTCCACAGAGCGCAGATTCCCGCACCGACGCCTGGCCGAGCTACGTCGGCAGCACGCCCATCGCCAAGCCGTCGCCGAGCTACCAGTCGGCCCTGTCGTCCTACTCGTTCCCGGCCATGCCGTTTCGCGCCCTCGGCATGCCCGCGCCGCCGAGCGCCTACAACCCGCTCGCGCCGCTGCGCAAACGCCTCGCGCGGTCCCTCGCCGTCACGGTCGGCGCACGAGAGCTGCACACCGAGGTGCAGCTCCTCCTCGAGCTCATCGACGCGCTCGAGACCTGCATCGCGACCTTTGGGCCGTCACGAGCCGACTGGTCCGGCCCTCGGCGGGCGTCGACCGACTCGGCGGCGTCGAGCGTGCAAGGGCTCGCAGGCGCCAAGACGCCCCTCACGAGCGTGGCTGCGTCGCCGACGCCGACGACGGCCGAGGCCGACAAGGTCGCCCTCGTCGACGAGGTGCGCCTCCTCGTCAGCGAGGTCGTCGAGCTCGTCCCGGCCGCTCAACGGTGCCTCACCGATGGCGGCTACGGCCCCCTCGCGGCGCCGGCGCCGTCCGTCTCGACCCGGGCGCTCCTCGAGGCGCTCGAGCACCCGTCGCCGCCGCAGCTCGTCGCCGACCCCGAGTGGTGGCCGCGCAAGCTCGCGCGCGACTGCCGCTCGCTCCTCGACGAAGCGGGCCTGCCGACGGGGCAAGGGAGCGCGACGCAGACCGTGTGGGCGCTCGCGACGAGGCTGAGCGAGGAGGCCGACGCACGGCCCTCGCCCTCGAGCGTGGCTCCGCCCGCGTCGTCGCCGACCTCGCCGGCTTCCTCGAGCGCGTTCGAGCCTCGTGGGACTCGCAGCAGTGGGCCGGGCCCGGCGCTGTCGGACGCGAGGCGGGACGAGCTGCTGTTGCAGGGCAAGGCGAGGTGGGAGGAGTTCCGCGAGCGGCAGAGTCACCTCGAGCACTTTGCGCCTGCCCCTGTGTAGCGGCCCTTTGAGCAGTGCGACTGCATTGCAAGGCTGTCCCCACGGCTTGCGGCGTTCGCAGGTCGCCCACGTGAGGGCAAGGTCGGCTGCGCCGCGCCCGCGGGCCCCTCCTCCTCTCGCCCGCCCGATCGGCCCGCCTGCACAGCCTCGAGAGCAGCACCGGCCGCCCCGTGCTCGACCTCCAGGCGTCTACGATCCGCGTCAGCACCCTGCAGCACCTCAGCAGCCGCCGCCGAGCCGTTCCCCTCGCGCGCTCCTCCCCACCGACCGACCCTGCCTTCCGCGCCTCGTCGGCGCGTCCAGCCGTGCCGTGCGCGCGCCCTTGTCGGTCCAGCACAGTCCAACGACGAGTGCGCTGCCTCACCTGGCCCTCACGGTGCGTGCCCATCGCTCCCCTCCGTCCTCCCCCTCGGCTCGAACGCATTTACTGACTCGTCGCTCGACAAACAACGTCCAGGCCTGCAGCGCCTCCCTCGACGCCGCGCTAGATGCTGCCGCACCACGCCGCACAGCAGCAGCACCAGCCTGGCCAGCCGTACGACCTCGCCAACCCCCAGTTCGCGCCCAAGAACGGCGCGCCCATGCCGGCGTCGGCGTTCGCGGCTCCTCCTCGCCCGATGTCGGCGCAACACGGCCAGTACGGCTCGCCCGCACCGCCGCACGGCCAGGTCGACTACTCGAACGGCGCCGGCGCGTACGGCCAGCAGCACGGCGGCGCCATGATGGACTCGCCCGCCGCGTTCGGCACGCAGCAGGCCGGCGCGCCGCCTAGCCAGCAGGCGCCGTGGCCCCAGCCCGTCCAGCAGCAGCAGCAGCAGCAGTACCAGCAGCAGCCGCACAACATGTACATGAACCCCGGCGGCGCGCACGGCGGCGGCGGCGGCGGCGGCGGGACCCCGGCGTCGTCCTCGACCGCGAGCCTGTTCCAGCAGCAGCTCGCCCAGCAGCAGGCCATGTCGAGCTCGCCAGCACCTCCGCCCCAGGCCAACTACCAGAACCTCGCGCACTCGCAGCAGCAGTACCTCCAGCAGCAGCACGCGTACCAGCAGCAGCAGCACCAGGCGCAGGCCCAAGTCCGGGCCTCGCAGGCGCCTCAGCACCACCAACCCTCCCTGTCTCAATCCCCAGCGCCGCAGCCCAAACATTCCCCCTTCTCGCAACCTCCTCGAGTCGCCGGCCAGCCGTCGATGCAGGACCTGCAGGCGACCCTGCGCGGCGTCAACCTCAACGGCATGACGGCCGAGCGCTTCCAGCAGCTCCCGCCGCACCAGCAGGTCGCCGTGCGCGAGTTCCTCACGCGCTCGCGCCAGGCGCAGCAGGCGCAGCTCGGCCTCGGCATGCCCGGGCCCGGCGCCCCCTCGCCGCGCACGCCCGCCGCCGCGAGCCCGCCCGCGCGACCGCCGACGGCGCAGGCCCAGCCCCAGCCCCAGCCTCAAGCGCCGCCTCATCCTCACCAAGGCCAGTCGCAGGGCGACGGCATGGCGGCGCCGGGCCAAGGGCAGGGCGCGGCGCCGGGTCAGCAGGCGCCTGCTTCAGGGCCGCCGGCGCAGAGCCCGCAGGCGGCCGCCTTCCTCAAGACGCTCGCCGAGTTCTACAGCAAGAAGGGCATGCCGTTCCACGGCGCTCCTGTCGTCGAGGGCCGGCCGCTCGACCTCGCGAGGATGTTTGCGGCTGTGACGCAGGCCGGTGGGCTCGCAGGCGTGCGTCCCACTCTCTCTCTCTCCCCTCCCTCTTTCCTTGTCTCGGCGAGCTCCTCCATTGACGCTCTTATGCGAGTACAGGTCACGAACGCGCGCAAGTGGGGCCTCGTCGCGAGCGGGCTCGGCTTTGCGGCGGCAGCACCTGATCAGCATCCCGACCAACGCCTTCAAGCGCTCATGCAGGTGCGCTCACCTCTTTCTGCGTGCCTTTCGAACCGTCGGGCCGGACCTGACGCCCTGTCTCGTCCTGCCACAGGCCTACCAGCAGGTCCTCTTCCCGTTCGAGCAGTACTGGGCGCAGGCGCAGCAGGCGCGCCTCGCTCAAGCGCAGCAGGCCCAGGCCCAAGCGCAACAGCAACAGCAGCAGCAGCAGCAGCAACAGCAGCAGCAGCCACAGCAGCAGCAGCAGCCACAGCAGCAGCGCAGCCAGTTTGCCGCTCAAACCGCGTCGCCGATGGGTGCGAGCGCCACGCCGACCGCCGAGCAGCTCGGTCAGCCCGCCACCCCGTCCGCCGCCGCTCCCGGCACGCCGCAGCAGGGCCCGTCGCGGCCATCCACGGCGACGACGACGCGGCCTGCCTCGCGAGCGGCGGCGACGCCCGCGCCTGCCACGGCCACAGCGTCGCCGCTCATGGCGCAGGCGGTCCCGCCCGGCGCGCCCTCGCCGTTTGCGACGGTGAACGGGACCCAGCCGGGTACGTCGAGCGGGCCGAGCGAGGACTTGAAGGTCAGGGCCAAGGTGGAGGACTCGAGTGCGTCCCCCTCACTCTCGTCCCTCGCGTTCGTCAGCGATCGGGCGCAGCATCGACTAACCCTGCTTCTCCTGCCCGCAGCCGACGACGCCCAGCTCCCTACCGCCATCCCTCCTATCCCTCTCGCCGCGACCACGCCCGCGCCGGCCCCGTCCGTCGGCCCGCCTCGCCGCAAGCGCCGGCGCATCGAGTACGCCCCGCTCGCGCGCCCGGTCGACACGTACGGCGGCACCGACCTCGCACTCGTCGAGGCCATCTTCCACCGCCTCGACAAGATGCGACCGCGCCGCACCATCGCCGACCTCGGCACGGTCGACGTGCACGGCCTCACGATGAGCCTGCGGTCGAGGTTGGCGAGCGAGGTGTCGTACGCGCTCAACGCGCTCGCCACCATCGCCATGGCGCCGCCGCACGAGTCGAGGTTCAAGCTGCGCGACAACGCCGACCTCGTCGAGGAGCTGCTCGACCTCCTCGAGGAGACGGCCTTCGGGCTCGACGGCGCCGGTGACGACGACGGACACGAGCCACCAGCGGCCGCTCTCGAACCCGGTCCGACACCCTGTCGCGAGCCCGACACGTACCGTCGGCTGTTCTCGCTCGTCGAGGACGAGGCGAGCGACCCAGCGCCCGTACCGCCACCGCCCTCGTCCGACCCTGCCGCGTCGTCGCTCCGCCCCGCCGAGGTTACGCTCGCCGTCGTCAACCTCGTGCGCACGTTCGCGTTCGACCACGACGACGCCCAGTTCCTGGTCGACGACGGCCGCGCCGCCGCCCTCCTCGTTCGAGCCGCGAGCCTGCCGCTCGAGCGCTCACGCTACCTCGGCGGCGCCGCCTCGTCGTCGTCGTCCTCGGACGTGCACGTGACGGCGGCCCAGTCGATGGCGCTCAAGAAGGCGGCGCTCGAGACGCTGGCGGCGTTCGGCACCAACATGCGCCTCGACGCCGTGTCGCCCGCGACGGCGGCCCAGACGGTCGACCTGTTGCTGTTCTTCGTGCGCGAGCCGCACACGCACCGCGAGCCGTGGGCGTTCGACCTGAGCAACACGCCGGGCATGGCGAGCAAGCAGGCGCAGGTGCACGCGTACCCGTCGTCGTCGTCGTCGTCGGCGGCGGTCAACAGCAGCGCGGTCCCGCCGTACCTCGACCTCGGCCTGTCGACGTTTGCGCGCCTCGTCCTGCCCGACGCGAACCGGGCTGTCGTCGGGCGCCTCCTCGACCCGGACGAGCTGCACTCGCTGTTCGACGCGCTCGTGCGCCTCCTGCCCGTCGCCGAGGCCGACTTCCAGCTCATGACGTTCGAGGTCGGCATCGTGCACGTGCACAACACGATCATGACGCTGTACAACCTCGCGTTCCTCGCGCCGGCGAGCATCCGGCTCCGGCTGCGCGCCGACCCCAAGGCGGTCAAGAGCCTGCTGCGCGTCGTGCGCCGCCTCGTCGGGACCCTGTCGGCGTCACACGACACCGAGATCTGGCAAGGGATCGCCGAGCGGTGCATGGCCATCCTGCGCCTGCTCGACGACGTCGACCGCCCGGTGAGCGGCGCCAAAGCGGCGCAGCAGGGCGTCAACGCGGGCCTGCCGTGGTGGGGCCTCAGCATGAGCGGCATCGACGACGACGACGACGACACGGCGGGCGCGGTCGACGAGGGCCCGCCGTCGCCCGTCGAGGACGCAGGCGCCGCCGGCGAGAAGGACGACGTCGTCAAGCGCGACCACGCGCACGGACCAGCGCCGTCGTCGTCCGCGGGTCCGATCCTCGCCGGCGAGCGACGAGCCCTGTTTGAGGCGGTCCAGATGGGCTCGCTGCAGCTGGCGATCCCGGCGTTGGCGCAGATGGCGGACGCGACGCGTGGCAGCGGCGGGCGGCGGCGCAGGCGGTGAGCTCTCGGTGCGGGGCGGGCGGGCGGGAGAAGTTGGATAGTCAGTCAGACGTTGCATCGTAGACTCGACTTCGAGCTAGAGGCACGAGCGAGCGAGCGTGGGTTTCGGAAAGCGTGCGCCCCACCACGCACTTCGCGAGAGAGAGCGGGCTTGCCCACCAACGGCGTCGCCCTCTGCGACGCGCCTGTTGCTCCTTGTCGACCCACCCACAGCCTACGAGCACACCTTTGCGCGCGTTCGACGCCCTCCTCGCAGCCCAGTCGTCCCTCGCCGCCCGACCGAGACCGCCCCTCGTTGTCCCTCCTCCCTCACCCTGTCGCCGTCGTCCCGTCCAACGCGCGCACACGGGCAGCACCAGGACTCGGCAGGTGCGTCCCCGCCTCTCTCATACTCGCCCCGAGCCTCTCTGTCCGAAGCCGCGTGCGCTGACGCTTCGCCGCCCCGCCCCATCCGGCCGTCCGCGCGCCTCGGAACAGACTAGGAACCCCGCCGCGCCGCCTCGCCTTGAGCGCACCCCGACGCTGCAGCATGCAGCTCGACCCGCACCCGGCGGGCAGCTCGACCGTCGTGCGCGATGATGCGCCCGCGCCGGCCGCCCCTCGCGCGCGCCCTCCCCCCTTGGCCCTCAACGGCGCCGAGGCCCGGCCTGCACCGCCCCTCCTAGGCGCAGCCGTCCCGCCCGCTCGCAAGGGCCCGCCCAGGCTCACCCTCGGCGTCGCGTCGACCATGGCCGCGCCGCTCGACCGCGCGAGCCCAGTTGGAGGACCCGCCCTCACGGTCCAACCCGCCTCGCCCGCCATGTCGTCGTCGAGCACCCCGTCGACCTCGCCGTTCCCTCCGCCTGTACCGTCGACATCCTCCCTCGACTCGGCGCAGCACCCGGCGCGCGCACCCTCGTTCCAGCCGCCGCCGTCCGCGGGCGCCAACGGCGGCGGACTCGCCGCGCGACGAGCCGCAAAGCTGGGCAAGAAGCGGCTCTCGCTCGTCGTGCCCGCCAACCCGCACTGGTCCCTCCCCTCGGCAGGACCCGACGGGCCCGCGACGACCCTCCTCTCGCCCGTCACGCCGTCCTTCCTCCGCCCCTCGACCTCGTCCATGGACGCCGAGACGCGCTCCCTCCCTCCTTCCCCTCTCCTCCTCACGACCTTCATCGGCGCCGAGGGCACCGAGGCCCCCGACCGCACGATCGGCCGCCTCATGCTCAAGCAGCAGGCCGACGAGATGCGCGAGCAGATGCGCGGCGGGCGCGGCATGAAGCGCCGCACGAGCATCCCGCGCCTCAACCTCGTTCGCGGCGGCGCATCAGCGCATCCCGCGAGCCTCGACCCGACGGCGCCGCCGGTTGAGCGAGTCGCGACGCCCGCAGGCGGCGGCGGCGGCGCGCCGTCGGCCGTCCAGCTCATCCGCGGCGACGCGGTCGAGCGAGGACTCGCCGCCGACGGCGACGTCGTCGTCGAGGAGTTCCCGTACGCCAATGGGCCGCGCGAGATCATCCCGGGCGTCTTCCTCGGCAGCGAGCAGAACGCCAAGGACGCCCAGGTCCTGCGCGACTGGCGCATCGGCTTCGTCCTCAACGTCGCCAAGGAGGTCGAGTGCCCGTGGGGCGCCGACGACGAGGAGGACGCGCTCGCCGGCCCACAGGTCGCGACGCCGGGGCAGGACGGCCCGCTCTCGTCGGACCGAGGCGCCCCGAGCGGCCAAGCCCGGTCCGCAAAGCCGCAGGCGAGCCCGGCGTCGACTTTTGCCGCGTCGACGTCCCCGTACGGCGCCAACGCGACGTCGCAGCCGCCCGTCCGCCCGCCGTTCGTGCGCCCGACCGCCTCGACGCCCAACCTCCACGCCGTCTTTACCCTCCCTCCCCACCGCCTCCTGCGGTTCCCGCCATCCCCATCTCGTTCCTTCCCTCGCCGCCCGACTCGGACCCGATGCTGCGCAGCCTGTCGACCTCGCCGCCTCAGCAGCCGCGCCGCCTCTCGCGCCAATCCTTGCGCCGATCCGGCGGCAGCACCACCTCGGCGGCGACGGCGACCGCGACGGCGCCGACGACCTCGTCCTGCCCGGGCTCGGTACGGTACGCGGCCCAGGCGCGCACAGGCCGGCCCGCGCTCGAGTACCTGTGGCTCAAGTGGGGCCACGACGAGGCCGACCTCGTCGAGGCGCACAAGTTCCAGGCCGCGTTCGCGTTCCTCGACTCGGCGCGCGACAAGGGTGAGCGCGTCCTCGTCCACTGCCAGTGCGGCGTCAGTCGCAGCGCGACCGTCGTCATCGCGTACTGCATGCGCGAGGCGGCGAGGGCGCTCGCCGAAGGCCGCGAGTCGGACGAGCTCGCCGGCTGTACGGGCATGCACGACACTTGTGCGTCCTCTCTTCTTCTCTTCTCTCGCGCATGGAGCCCAACAAGCCCCGGAGCTCACGTCCTTCTCTTCGTCACAGACTCGTTCGTCAAGGAGAAGAGCGAGTGGGTCGGCCCCAACCTGTCGCTCGTCTTCCAGCTCGTCGCGTACGAGCGCACGCTGCGGGGCGACAGCGCGAGCGGCGAGGAGGGCGACGAGCCACCGTATCCGCATTATCCGCCCGAGCCAACGTCCGCCCGTCCTGCCGACGACGACGACCTTCCGCCGCCGACGCCCGCCGTCGGCTTCAGCCCGTTCGCCTTCCCTGCTCCCCCTCCTCCCGTATCGCGCTCCACCTCGTACGGCATGCCCAGCATCAACGGCCACGGCAGCACCGCATTGTCGAGCCCGCGCACGCCGTCCCCGCCCCATCCGGCGTCGCAGCTCTCGACGCCCGACCTCGCCCACCACGACCCGCTCGTCTCGCCGAGCCTGAGCACCGCGACCAAGGCCTCGTCGGTCACGTCGACGCCGGGCTCGACGGTCGGTCGGCGAGGGCTGTCGCCGCAAGAGGTGCGCATCGTGCGCGGCGCGGACGAGGGCGAGGACGAGTTGGCGGCGTCGGCTGCTCGCGCCTCGCGCACGTCGGGCGAGTCGCTCGGAGCGCCCGAGGTGGGCAAGGCCGTCCCGTTCGGCGCCTTTGCCGTGCCGACGCCGCCGCCGTCGCACTACACCGCCGGCCTCGAGGACGCCGCGTCGCCGACGACGGCGCTGTACCCGCCGGGCGTGCCCCAACACGACGCATCTGGCGGCGCGGCACAGCAGAGCGGGCGCAGCCACTTTGCGCCGCCTCTGCGCACGTCGTCTTTGCGCGCCGCCCTCCCGCCGCTCCAGGTCCACCTCCCGTCACCGCCCTCGTCCGCACCGCGCCACTCGAGCCCGATCACGATGGTCGTCAACTCTCCGTCGTCGCCCGCACCGCCTCGGCAGCTCCCTCCCCTCCAGCTGTCCCGCCCGCGTCCGACGATCGCGACCGTCACGTCGCCTCTCTCGCCCGCGTCCAACGCCTCGGTCACCTCGCCGACGGCCATCCTCTCGGCCCTCAGCCTGAGTAGCAGCTCGGGCTCGTCGGCGTCGCTCGCGGCGCCCCTGTCGGCCCTCTCGCGCACCAACTCGACGAGCTCGCAGACCGGGCGCCGCTTTGGCATGAGCCAGACGGCGCTCGAGCGCCGCGCGAGCCACCGGCGCGTGTGCAGCGACACGATCCGCGTGCCCGTTGCGGGGCTCGCGGCGGCGGTCGGGAGCCCGGGCGGGTCGAGGCCGGCGTCGCCGGCGCAGATGGGAGGCGGGTCTCGGGCGGCGCGAGCGGACGAGCAGCAGGGCTAGCCTCGCGAGGCTCACGCCGTTCCCTCTCTTTGCTCCTCGTCCCCTGTCGTCTTTATCTCCGTAGCGTCCCTCTCCACCTTGTGCCCCTCGGTCGCCCTCTCGTGCTCGCCTCCTCCTCCCATCTTGCGCCGTAGACCTCGCTGGCCGAGCGTCTCGTTCCGGTCCTTTCTCCTCTCGTCCTCCCTTACCATGCAGTTTTCCGTGCATCTCTCCTCATCGTTCTCTCTCTTGCGGCAGCTCGTCTCTCGAAAGTCGCAAGGCGAAGAGAGCGAGAAAGGGCAGCACCTCGTTGCCGCGCACACTTGCTACGGCTCCTTGACCCGGACCACCACCTTGCCCCTCGCCTTGCCATCGATGACCTTCGCGAACGCCTCGGCGACGTCCTCGTACGCGTACTCGCCGTCGATCGAGACGATGTAGTCGTCGTCGCCGCCCTTGGTCAAGTCGGCCGCCTCGGCGAGCCAGCTCGCGTCGTTCTTGAAGTTGATGCATGCGTAGCGGTACCCGAGGCCCATCCAGCCGCGCAGCAGGCGGTACAGCATTGCCCAGCAGGTCAAGTAGAGGAACGAGCCGCCGAGCGCGGCGCGCGACGTCTTGTCGCCCACGATCGTCGTGTAGCTGCCGCCGGCCGGGAAGGCGCGCGTGCGAGGCGACAGGAGGCGCGGGACCGAGGGCAGCAGCGAGGTCCCGCCGACGCAGTCGATGATGGCGAGGAAGCCGCCCTCGCCCTCGGTCGGACGCAGCGCCGCGAGCCGCTCAGCGACGTCGTCCGCCTCGTAGTCGACCGTCTCGTGCGCGCCGAGCGAGCGCACCAGGTCGGCGCTGCGCGCGGAGCACGATGCGACGACGCGCAGGTCCATGCGCTTCGACGCGAGCTGGACGACGTGCTGCCCGACCGCCGAGGCGCCGCCGAGGACGACGACGGTCGGCCGTGGAGACGTGCGGCTCTTTGACGATGTAGGCTCGCCGTGCGCCGGTGCTGGTGGAGGTGGAAGAACGAGGTAGGGTGGCGAGAGGACGGTGCGAGCGGTGAGGAAGACGAGGGGGAGGGCGGCGGCCTGGGTCCACGACAGGTGTGGTGGTTTCGGGACGACGGTCGAGCGCGAGAGGTCGACGACGCAGAGCTCTGACAAGGTGCCGCCGTTCGGGCCTGCGAGCTTCAGGAGGTTCGCGAGAGGTCAGTCGACGGGCCGAGCGAGGGATGGGAGCGAGAGGGAGGGTACGAGGCGACGCACCGGATTGACCGTCACGCCCATGACTTCTGCGCCGACCTCGAACTCGTTGGCGTCCTTGCCCCTGCCGAGCACCGTGCCGGCAAAGTCGCAGCCGATCCCGTGCGGGCCAGCGAGTGCAGGAAGGCGAAAGATGGCGAGGTTGCGGAGCTGGGCGTCCACCGGGTTCAAAGACGCCGCGTAGACCTGGACGAGGAGCTCGTTCGGTCCAAGGCTCGCTGGCATGGGAGCAGAGAGGTCGACGAGCGAGAGGGTTGAGGGGAAGGGCGGTGCCGAGTGGACCCAGGCTCGGTGCGAGGGCGGATCGTGTGGCTCGGCCATGTTAATTTTATTGTTCAAACATGAGAGCTTAGTACGTGAAACATGAGAGCTTAGTACGTTAGCCATGAGAGCTTAGTACGTAAACGAACCGCGTCGCCGAGTCGGCGCCTCTTGGCTCCGCCTCGACCCTCTATCGCCCAAGTGCACGACCTAGCAGGGCTGTAGCGCAGCCAGGAGCCAGCTGTGCCGCCCACTCGATGATCCATGCAGGTGCGTCGCCCCCTTCACCTGCCTCTCGTCCTCATCGCCTCCCTCATCTCGCGCCCTCCCCACATCGTCACCTCGACCTCGTGGTGCCGCGCTGACCGCTGCTGTGCGCACACACAGTCCTGATCTTCAACAACAGCGGCAAGCCCCGCCTCAGCAAGTTCTACTCGGTGAGTCCTCGTCGCTTCCCCTCGGCTCCCCCCCTCGAAGCTGTCGCTGAGCCGCCTCGTCCCACCCTCCGCCTCCACGCAGCCCTCTTCGCCAAAGACCCGTGCCGCCATCCTCCAGCGCATCTACACTCTCGTCTCGGTCCGCGACGACTCGCAGTGCAACTTTGTCGAGCTCCCAGCCGGCTTCGGCTTTGGCGACCACGGCGAGAAGGACGACTCGGAGCAGGAGGACCTCCGCGTCATCTACCGCCACTACGCGACCCTGTACTTTGCGTTCGTCGTCGACCAGAGCGAGTCGGAGCTCGGGATCCTTGACCTCATCCAGGTGCGCCCCTGCTCCCTCCCTCTTCCTTCTCGCCTGCACGTCGGCTGACCCTTCCGACACGCAGGTCTTTGTCGAGTCGCTCGACCGGTGCTTCGAGAACGTGTGCGAGCTCGACCTCATCTTTCACTTTGACGAGGTGCGTCCCGCCCTCGTATCTTCCTCCCGACCCCAGCTGACCTCTGCCTCTTCCCTCCCCGTGAACCTTTCCTTCCACTCCACCGCCATCGCTCTCGCCCTCTCTCCGTCCCCTCGCATGTGCTGCCACTGCGTGCGTCCACACACAGGTCCACACCCTCCTCTCGTGCCTCATCACCGGCGGCCTCGTCCTCGACACGTCGCTCGACAGCATCCAGGCCACCTTCCGCGCCCAGTCGCAGGCCAAAAAGGCGTCGCAGGGCAGCGGGGTCTCGGCGGGTGGTGGGCTCAACCTGGGTGCGCTGGGCGAGGCTGCGGGAGGGCTGTTGGGGGGAGAAGGCGGACCTTTTGGCCTTGGCGCACTGAGGAGGGGCCGATAGGGTGTCGTCCGCGCTGTAATGTCTCTTGTCTTGTCTCTCTTGCGGCAGTCCCTTGGCGTCGGGTCTGAATCTCTGCCTGCCTGGTTGCTGAGTTCGAGTCCCTTGATAGTGTCAAATACTTGTTTTCCGGAGAGCTTGGAGACAAAAAGCTATTATTCTTGAAAGCATAAGATGCTGCCTGTTGCTGTTAGCCATTCCTGCCGAAAGGCCGTCATCCTCTTTTGCAGACCTGGCGGCCTGGGACCTTCCCGGCCTGAGGTCTGACTATGAGGTGACTCACTGCTGTCTTAACTCCTTCCAGCCCATCCAGGGGGCACAAGAGACACAACAGAGTCCCAAACAGTGCAATAGGGTGACTGACAGGAAGAAGGCCCAGCAGCCCTCGGAGGTTCCCTGCAGAACAATTTGGCCCGTTGCAAAACCTCCTGTGACAGGCCTGTCCAGTTGGGGCAAGATGCTTCACAGGGTGAAGCTTAGGGTTGTAGAGTTACAGGGCAGGTCACTTGCAGGAACAAGGCGTGGCGGCATGAAACCCCCAGCCCCTTCGGCTGGACTACAATTTGGCTTGTCACAAAACCTGCTGTGACAGGCCTGTCCAGTTGGGGCAAGATGCTCCACATGGTGAAAGGTTGTAGAGTTACATGGCAGGTCACTTACAGGAACAAGGCGTGGCGGCATGAAACCCCCAGCCCCTTCGGCTGGACTACAATTTGGCTTGTCACAAAACCTCCTGTGACAGGCCTGTCCAGTTGGGGCAAGATGCTTTACAGGGTGAAGCTTAGGGTTGTAGAGTTAGTTACAGGGCAGGTCACTTGCAGGAACAAGGCGTGGCGGCATGAAACCCCCAGGCCCTTAGGCTGGACTACAATTTGGCCCGTCACAAAACCTCCTGTGACAGGCCTGTCCAGTTGGGGCAAGATGCTCCACAGGGTGAAGCTTAGGGTTGTAGAGTTACAGGGCAGGTCACTTACAGGACCAAGGTGTGGCGGCATGAAACCTCCAGCCCCTTAGGCTGGACTACAATTTGGCCTGTCACAAAACCTGCTGTGACAGGCCTGTCCAGTTGGGGCAAGATGCTCCACATGGTGAAAGGTTGTAGAGTTACATGGCAGGTCACTTACAGGAACAAGGCGTGGCGGCATGAAACCCCCAGCCCCTTAGGCTGGACTACAATTTGGCCCATCACAAAACCTCCTGTGACAGGCCTGTGCAGTTGGAGCAAGAAGCTTCACAGGGTGAAGCTTAGGGTTGTAGAGTTACAGGGCAGGTCACTTGCAGGAACAAAGCGTGGTGGCATGAAACCTCCAGCCCCTTAGGCTGGACTACAATTTGGCCTGTCACAAAACCTCCTGTGACAGGCCTGTCCAATTGGGGCAAGATGCTCCACATGGTGAAGCTTAGGGTTGTAGAGTTACAGGGCAGGTCACTTACAGGACCAAGGTGTGGCGGCATGAAACCCCCAGCCCCTTAGGCTGGACTACAATTTGGCCCGTCACAAAACCTCCTGTGACAGGCCTGTCCAGTTGGGGCAAGATGCTCCACAGGGTGAAGCTTAGGGTTGTAGAGTTACAGGGCAGGTCACTTGCAGGAACAAGGCGTGGCGGCATGAAACCCCCAGCCCCTTAGGCTGGACTACAATTTGGCCCGTCACAAAACCTCCTGTGACAGGCCTGTCCAGTTGGGGCAAGATGCTCCACATGGTGAAAGGTTGTAGAGTTACATGGCAGGTCACTTACAGGAACAAG